AGGCAGATACAATACCGACAAAAATTCCTGGAGTAGCTGTAAGGGCATATCTGGTCTTTATGGGGTTCTGGTTGGGCGCAATTTATTTACTATTTCTCGTTTCCTTCACGTTTCCGCGGTAGCTTGGCTTGCAACCTGCTGAAGTGGAAAGCACCAGATCTAACTACAGGAAGATTCTATGGTCCACAAGAAGGCCGGATATTACTCGGGACATACATGTTGCGCAGGATATATTAGAACTCACCATATAGTAACGTTTTAGGCAGGCGATAATATTCCGTACGAGAAACATGACTCATCGATATGGTACTCATCTCCGGAAAACTTTCGCAAATTCGGTCGGTTATTACTAAATTTTATTTTGAAAATATTCACTTAAGTAATAAAATATGACATATGCTTAAACACATTAATGTATTTTTATATGTGACCTTCGGTATATATATATATATGTCATTTAGGTGTCATTTAGGTAGGCAACGTAGGTAGTGTCTACCCTGAATAAAATAGATCACATACATTTCCTTCAGCTGCTTTTTCCTTCTGTGGCAAAATATGATCCTGATTCAACAAAATAATAAAGGCTACTCTGATTATTATGCAGAAAATGCAAAATATTTTATTTTTGTACATATATATATATATATATATATATATATATATATATATATAGAGAGAGAGAGAGAGAGAGAGAGAGAGATAGAGGTGTGTGTATTTTCGAAATTTAAAATTGTGTTGTCAACCTTTTAAGCTTAAGTATACGTCACTTTTTTTCTTCCTCTCCTTTCTTTTCTTTTCTCTTGCTTTCCCTTCCACCTGTCTATCTAATACATCAGTCCGTGAAATTTTGTCCATTTACTAAAAGATTTCGGTCTGAAGAGATGAATATATAGATATTCACGAAATAAATTATAACCGAAATGAATCTTTAAGGTTTTCTTCTTGAATATTATTATAATGGTCTATAGTTTACATTGAGCTCTCCTTGAATTAATATCCTCCTTGGAATAATCCCTACATGTCACAAATTGGTAACACACACACACACACACACACACACACGCGTGCGCACACACACACACACACACACATATATATATATATATATATATATATATATATATATATATATATATTCAAAAATAGCCATAATAAAAAAAAATTGCAAATAAAAAAAATACGTATACCTATGTTTGAATCGATTATGCAAAAGTAGTTGATAAAGCATTACACAAAGAACTATTTGAACTGCTAGGTAAGCTTTAATTACTGGGGAAAATAGTCCAGATCTTATACTGGAATCCAAACCACCTCCATACCGCTAGAAAATTTAAATTGGCGAAAGTGAATGATATGTTTTCACATCGGACGTATTCAACCTTTAATATTGCACAACATTTATATATCTGGGAAGTGATTTAACAGAGGAAGAGACTCGAGACAATAGAAATGTAGGTCTGCAGAAGGATGCTGAGAATTCCATGGACGGTACATGTAACAAATAAGACATGAGAATTGTTAGGAAAATTGGAAAGAAAAGGACACTCATACTTAGAACCAGAAAGAAACAACAACGTCCAGGGAATATAATGAGTCTTAGAGAAATTGACACTCACAGCACATATGGAAGGCATGAGGAAAACAGTGAACGACATACCTGGCGGATTTGTGTAATTGTTTGGCAGAACAGGGATCAAGAGTGATAGCAGAAATCAAAAAATATCAGGAAGTTGTGTAGAGACATGATCGCCCAAGGAAACAGCACATACGACGATAATAATTATCTTTCTTTTTAGATTTTTACTCATAATGCTCATTGACTTTTCCTGATATTGTTTTGGTATTTTGATTCCATTCTGCAATGGTACCTATAACTTATTCGATTTGCATCTCTATTTCAATTACTTCGACCGCCGAATGTTGCAAAGACAAACGGATTCGACCTTCTTGTCCATCAAGGGTACGGAACATCCTACGTAAGATTAGCTCTTGATGTCAATTAGCGTTCAGCATTGCACACATTTGTGTCTCACCTCACCGAAATTAAATGCAATGGGAGCTAAGGGACTTTGGTTCTCTTAGGGGACTTAGAGAAGCCAGTGGCAACAAATTCCTCAAGCCCAGTAGAAATTAGTACAAATTAGGACTCAATTAATCATTACTTTATATATATATATATATATATATATATATATATATATATATATATATATATATATATATATATATAGTGTTTAAAATAGACGGTATTTATATTTTACATTCAAAATAAACCTGGTTTCAATTTTTATTTCATATTTAAAATAAACAGGGTTTAATGGTATTTATTCATGTATATATATATATATATATATATATATATATATATATATATATATATATACCCTTTACTTCATATTGAGCATTATTAATTACCTGCTTCAGTTATATCCTATCAGCTATCATTGTATTTCATTATATATATATATATATATATATATATATATATACATGAATTATTCACACAAAACTAATGCAAAGGTTAATGATTTAAATGGCGAGACATCCATCATCGCAAACAATTCAAATAGTATACAAAAACCTCCAGATCCGTTATGAATGAATTGATCCTTGTTTATATAAATTTCTGCCGTATTAGTTGTTATTTTTACTACAAGCTTTCGTCTGTTCCTACAGACATCTTCAGGTATAGAATATATGTTCTTTTTTTGTTTTTTTCTCTTAGTAATAAGAAGACAACGAAAATATATGTGTTGTTGTATCCGAAAATGCTATTGAAAAAGAGTTATTGGTTTTGGAACGCGCCAAAGCAACGCTGAGTTTGATTTTAAATTTATATATATATATATATATATATATATATATACAGGATTTGAGAAGATAATTGAATACATTTGTTTTGTTTTTTTTATTTTTGCATGTTTGTTCAAAAATTTCGTTCTTCAGAAGGATGCTGAGAATAACTTGTTCTGAACACAAGAATAAGTTTTAGGAACATGGTAACAAAAAGGCAACTTATTCTTAGAATCTGAAAGCGACAACAGTGATGCCTATGACATATCATGAGTCAAGACGGCCTGGAGAATTGGTTATTCACAATACGTATCGATGGAAAGAGAGATAAATAGCCAAAACTCGAAGCTTACTAAGATTAACAAAGGACAGGAAGTTGTCGAGAGCCATAACTAGCCTACGTTCCGATACGAAACACCAGGTAGAAGATTCTATTATAAACTCTAGTTTGTTGAGAAATCTGAATAATATTCAAAGTCAAAATATATAAGCAGTCATGTTTCTATCCTCATCTATCCTTTGATTTTATTCGCAGTTAATGTCATTTTCTCATTTTCAGTTGGCTTTTTTCTCCTTCCACTGCTGTACTTTTTCTCTCGAACGATATGCGAGGTTGTTTCAGTATGAAATCCTCCTATCGAAGTTAATCCAATCAGCGCGTGCGGAAAAGCTACAAATCCCGCCAATTCATTGGCTTCCTCTTATCGCAACATACCCAAGGCATCTTGGAGTAATCTCATGCACATAAGAAGTTGTTGACACCTACATAGCTAGATTTTCTTTTACAATGACACACAAAGAGTATCTCAAGTTATCTGCTCGTTCTCTGATAGCGAAACGAGCATTTCTATTGAGCTCGTGAGGTTCAAATCAAAATTCTTTGATATGATGATGAGCAAAAGGAAATAAAATGTTTTGTTTGATTTTACTATATTTCAATTAAGTTGAAAATTTCCCTCGTCATAATCGTGAATAATGAAAATTTTTCTTAATAATTATAGAATGATATAAGTATGAAAACAAGTCGAAAACGAGTCAAACAATGAAGGCATAGATAACAAAAAAGAAAAAAAATGATAGTATTTAAGCGATCTTATGACGAAATTAACGTAGATTAAACAAAACTGTGACTAATCCGCAGTATTTAAAATGAAAACAATACAATTCCTATATTCCTATCATGAAGTGTCACAAGGAAAGAATCATATGCAAATTTTTCTTTTGATTTTAGAAGGCATCAAAGATTGAGTAGAACATCAGACAGTTATGTGCCATGCGTGATACACGCTAAGGGGATCATGTATCTTTCGATACATAACTGACGAGGCAGATTTTTTTTCCCGCAGCAGGTCGCCATTTCTTTCTGTGGTAGAACAGTTACCATCCAAAGCGATAGAACCCGGTCTGTCTTGCTGTTTACCCATAGCTGGGTTAAAAGTAGAGAATTCATACCTTTTCCACGGGTATTAGCACGTAAATAAATGTAATGAATTTGACTGGAATTCGAACTCGGCTCCGCGAGCGGCTATCCATTACTCCACTGTGCCTCCGCATGCTGACATTTTGAGATGTATCATATTAAATTCCTTCTTGTTCCGGCTTTAGTTAGCACGTGTCTTACGGCTTGCCATTAACCCAGGTAAATAATGGACTATTGCTTTTTTGATTCACAGTAAAGAGGGGATGAAAAGATATATATGTTCGGTTTTAGTGAGAAAAAAGTATATATAGTAATAAGAAAATGAAAGTAAGAAAGAAAATCATAGGAGATAAAGTAATCGATAACGCCCTCATATCATTAAAGTCTGCTTCAGAGAAATGGAAAAACGTGTCAATTTTTCTTTTATTTTTTATCCGTACCTTCTTCTTTAAATAATGAACTACATACACACTTACGTCCGTATGTATACGTTTCGACAGATAGAGATAGAGTTACTGAGTGCTTTATTTTTTACGGTTTATTAATCCTTTGTGGCTTATTTAAAGCCGAAACATATTTTTAGATTGTAAGAAAAATTCTTTTAGAGAGTGAATGCTAAATTAACAATTTGTATGCGATCACAAAACATTTTCCACATACAATTCCTACTATTTAACCCATAGATGTGGGAATAAGAAAAGAACCCATACCTTTTGCAAGACTATTTGCACGTTAGTGAATGCAACGAACTGAACTGGAATTCGAACTCGGCTCGCTAATTTTAGACAGATAATTGGCATATTGCGATAGATAGATAGATAGATAGATAGATAGATAGATAGATAGATAGATAGATTAAGATTTTTTTTTAACTATATTCTCACCAAACCCTTACGTAATACAAGGGAAGACAAAAGATTCTATCCATCATGTGATATTTCTAGTCAAAACAATTCTATGTAAATGCAAATACCGTTGAAAAAAAAGTACATTGCGAAGTTGAAATATAAAGGACGGATACTGGAATTAAATTTAACGGCTTCAATCTTTAAGAGATGACTCACGTGAACTCATTTAGACCGACGAAATGTTAGCTTCAAGTGGCAGTACTCGGTTGCATTGTTATTGTAGATTTTGGGAGATGAGGGTCAAATGTGTTGACTTATGAGAGATTAATAATGATAAAATGATATCGTTGTTTGCGAAAGACAGAATTTTGTCTCAGTCTGATTGATTTATTTAGAAATGAAGTACGAATAAATATTATTCTCCTTTACCAGAATCGATATGTTCTGTATTTTGGAAAGGCATCTAAGCATAAGCCAGTTTATGCACAAAGAACATTCTGCTGATATCTCTTACATTTTTCTCCTCGCGAGGAACTGATATTACTTTGATCAGAGAAAACATTCAATCATTTCACCCCAAGCAAGGCGGTAATGCGAAGACTATGAATAGGAGGGTTTGAAGAAAGGACAAAAAAATGAACAGGATTCAAGAACACAGAAGATGGCGATTGACGTTGCATTTAAATTTTTGAAGTTTGTAGTTGAACAACCAAAAGATCTATATACTACTAACGTTGCCCGTGCTTGATTCAAAAATCGTACGACTCATACAGCAATCGCTATCACTTGACTTAAAATATTATTGCCCTTCCTTGCCTTTAAAGGAGTGCCCTTTTCCGTGCTGATGTTGCTACATTCCTTACTTCTTGCCTATCTCACACTGAGAATTTTTTCTAAGCTCTACACTAAACATTAAATCTCTTACGAAAAAAGAACTAAACAAACAAAAGAATCAGCTTTAAAAAAGGACTCGTAACTGGAAAAACCGAATGAAAAAAGAATGTTAACGACAAATACTTTTTCACACCCAACCCAGTTCTGCGGAATCAGAATCAACGTTGAGTTTAAGCAAGCGAATGAGTCAATTGGAGTGCCATGCATATTTAAATTTTTCCCACTTGTGACGAATGCAGCTATCGATATTTTTTTTGCATGCTAGCATGCTAGTTAACATTCATTTCAGTTAGCTGTTGGCTCTCACGCTGGCCAATAGAATCTTCCTGCCTATTCGTGGCAGCCAGCTATAGGCTCTCATTATGGTCGGTACAAAATGGCCGCAAACTACATGAAAACTGCCGTAGTAGATTATTTCCACTATCGATGGGAGTTGGGAAATGCAAAGTCAGTTTTCGCCGTCTAACTTGGAGCATGTGCATGTAAATTTTGGTGCAAATACGTCGAAAATTGAGGCCGTGCATTCGTTACACACACACACACACATCCTGCCTTTTATAGATAGAGATACTGTGAGTACACATGAAGCTCGCAGAAAAAGCAGCAATATGTGAGTATCGTTGTTTTATGATTACTTAAGACACACACATGTCATGTGCGTGCGCGCACACACACACACACACGCACACACACATGTGCGTGCGCACACGCACACACACACACACATACATGTGCGTGCGCGCACACACACACACAAGCAAGGCGGGAATACCACTAGAACGGTGGGGTTTCAAGGTTATAATTATCAGGGAAGCAAGTAATCCGAAAAGAGTTCCAAAGTTGGTAAATGCGAGAAAAATAACTGTTGACGTATTAGAGCCGGTCGCATCAACTATTTCACCAGTAAAAGGTTGGGACCTAGTTGCCAATCAAGTGTATGCCTAAATTCATGTAGTCATGGATCCAGGTCAGAGTAGTTGCCATGAAAATATCTGTAGAATAGACAGTGAAGGTACGTCATGTTCGTTGGAAAGTGACTGAAGTCGAGATGCCAGTCACAGATTTTTCTATGAATTTTAACGGGAGAGAAAATATAATAAATAAGAGAAAATATAAGGTTTATTTCGGAAGTTTGCCTTTGTATTTTATATATTGACAGAAAAGCTTGAATAAGGAAACAAGTAGGAAATTTTCAAACATTTTACATGTTTCTCTATTTAGTGAGCTTCATCAGAAATACTGGAATTTCCGGAGTAACATTTCAATTTTTATGTTTTTTTATTCGTTGTGTAGACCTCATGCGTATGTTCTTATCAGTGTTATTTAACATATATACATTAATTGTAAAGAAATAAAAACAAAACAGCAAAGGATTTTGAAACAAAAAATGTAACTTCAAATCATACCATTTTAAATATTTCTAATGGAGCTAAATAATTAGGGAAACATGACAAATCATAAACTTTTCTTATTTGTACGTTTATCATTCTGTTTGATGTAATGAAATTACAACTTATTGATTGAAATGTAAGTTTTATATTTGGTGAAAATTATTTTATTATTGATATCTGTTTTATGAGACAGTCAAGCTATTTCTATATGAATTTCGGGGATGAAGACTAACATTTTTTTTTTTTCATTCGGACCAATGTTCTCATCTTTGTTGTCATTATTACACCATTTTGCTCGTTTTAGGCTTCCAGTCTTAGTTAGGTATCTGCCGATCCAATTAATCTTCATGGAATTTTGAACTGAACACTTTATTTAATCTATGGGGGAAGATTGTTCACGTCTGCCGTCTATGTCAAGGGATATCTCGCCTTGTACTTTGTAGGTACGGCTCAGTTATCGCTCGCACCAATTCCAGTGAGTCTACCGATTGAACCCTGCAAATATTATATTTCTTCCTTATTTCACAAAAAAAAAAAAAATATAACAAAGCTACTAAGACGTAGTGGGTTACTGAAGTGCTATACGTAAAAGTAACCATCTTTAATGAGTAAAAACAATAAAGGAACAGAAATTAAGAATACAGAAGATAACGATTGATATGTCATTTATATTCTTGAAGATCAGATTTGACTGGAGAGCAAGAAGGCGGATGAGAGTTCCACAAGCGAGAAGTGCGAAAAAAGAAATTGTTAACATAGAACTTTCGGCAACATCTAGCCATGTAAAATGATGACTCCTGTTACCAATCTAGAACTGCGCTTAAATTCATAAAATTTAGGTGCCATAAAATAAAGTTCATCAGAACAATTATCATGGAATTATTTATAGAAAAGGAACGAATTAGCTACATTATGGCGGTGTGAAAGTGACTGAACCAGAGATGCCAGGTAAGAATCAATAACATTAGATCTTTGTTGGATTTTATCAAGCATCTCTAAATAGGTGGCAGGAGCACCACGCCATATGCGGCAGAAATATTTACAGCATACCTGAATGGTAGACATATAATTATGCAAGATAGATTCTGACGTGAAAAATTGTCTACCACGACACAGTGAACCAAATTTCCTAGCAGCAGACCGAGCAATTGATACAATATAGTCTTTCTCTTTCATATCGTCAACCCGTGAATGCACAACGAGTCAATTTCCTGGAGATATGCATTAGGTGCACTAAAGGAAGGCAGAAGTGGTACTCGTAGTCTATTAATAGAGAGCAGTTTCGTTTGAGAGGGGGTTAAAAATAACAAGCCATTCTTTGCTCCATTTAACAACAGCATGTAGGCCATTTTTTAGATCAGCTGAAATTTTGAACTTATCGAACCGATCAGACTTTCTATTAAGACTGGATTAAATAGTGTCATCAGCATAGATACTGAATTGAAAACTGCGCCAGCAAATTCACATACCAACGTTTTAATACATTAGGCACATTTCGAAATTCCTTGAGAGTTGTTTATCTGTTTGTTTAGCGGCATATCACTTCTCTATGGGTCATTTAATTCCGAAATTTAATTTTCTTGGGAGCTTTGAAGTAATAAAAATATGATATATGTTATTCTGCTTTCACAATTGAATACATGGTAGATAATACTCAGCTTTTGTGCATATACATGTTTGTGTGGATATAATTACTAGAGGCAGTGAGCGTTTTTTCTTGTAGTTTTGTTAAAGTTATATTTTGGAATGCAGTTTGATTTCTTTACGAAATTGTAGGATGTTAGATGGGTTAATGATTTGGTAGTTCTACTATAAATAGTTATTGTTGGTAATTTTTTATATAAAAATTTTTATATCAAAATGGATTTTTATACTTTCATAGTATTTTGTTTTTGTTTCGGGGTTCACTATTTACCCATAGCCGGGACCCTAACAGGTGCTATCACCCTGGTTCAAGGTGGATTGGGAACAACATCAATTAAGAGTTAATTACACGCACCTCTAAACTTCTAATCTCTCGAACGGAGACCTTGCTGCCGAATGTAATGTATCATCTTACCATCTCTGGAGGTTAGCTACATCGACGACACTTAAAATAAGGGTAATTATACCGAATGTACAATAAAAAATCGTTTAAAAGTTTTTATATTTCCCATTTAAGTGTCCGCCTTTTAAGACGGAAATTCTTCAGAATGAGTAGAAAATAAATTAAATTAAAATGTAACTGTATTTAAAATTTAAATAAGATTAAATTAAAATTTAGTGAAAAGTAAAGATTTTTTTAAAAGTCATTCATTTTCTTTCTCTTTTAGTCTCGAGCAACGCCAGCTTTGGAAAAATAATATAAGATTTCACATAAATGCATACACAGACAACACATTTTTCGTTATCCATCTGATAAAGCCGTTAGAGGCGAAACGCATTATGGGAACATATTTTCGGGACAAATTTTCATCAACGTTATCCTAGATGTCAATAATTTATATTATCGTTATATCAAGTTGTAGTGTGAAACGATTGAGAAAACTCATTTCAAGGTATATGGACGCGCTTGATTAAAATAATTGCAAACTAGATTTATTGGTTAATTCTAACGCTTCAAAATTTCCATTCGTTTATGTTGTCGCTGTATTAATCCATAATAACGCAAATTTCTCTTCCGTTGATGTTCAATTTAACTGTCATAGGGATCCTCCTCATGAATAGAATAAGATTTATGACCGTAAAGATCACGGCTTT